CCGTCGCCTTCTCATAGTGCTCTGGTCAGCCCTCGTGGGCATCTGGGAGCCGGCAAAGTTTTTAAAGGTCTCCTGCCTGCTTGTTACCAGCCCCTCTTCATCACTGCTGCTGCTGACGTACTCCGGTTTGCTGGCGTTTCCCTCGAGAGCGCCCTTGCTGCCGGAGAGGGTGGGGCACCGGCAGCGTGCCGAAAGCCAGATCTGCCTCGGCGGTGGGATGGGTGGAAAATCACACTTCGGGTCCTGCTCCGGAGGTTGCTGCTGGTCTTTGGAACTGCCTCAAGGGCAGCAATTAACAGGTGTTGCTAATTGACCTAACGGCTGTGGCAGCAGCATGCGCCGGAGGAGGGGCATCACCACCAGCCTTTGCTGCGCGTCCGCCTGTGGGAACCTTTGGGGTGTGTAGAGATGTGGTTTATGGGATGCAAAACCAAAACGTGCCACAAGTTGGGCGTTGTCTTTGGCACGAGCAGCAAGGGAAGGTGGGCAAAGCCAAGCAGTCCACGTTGTCATTGAAAAGGGGGCAGGAGGGGGAGGAAGAACTGGGGAACTACAGCTGCTCAGCGTGACAGCTGTCCCTCGAAATCATCCTTTGGGGAGGAGTGAGCACCAGAAAGAGAAGAGGAGATGGCCAGGCAATGTGGAGGTGTCAGGGAGAAATTGTGCCCAGCCCATGCTTCTGCCAGAGGTGTAACAGTCCCGGCGTACACGGGAGAAGGAGGCATTCCGACACAGAGTTAGCACCATCTTGTGTGGCTTCCTCATAAGCAAGTGAGAAAGACATGGCCTCGATGAGATGGCTATTGGGTGGGTGGAAAACTGGTTGCACACTTAGAAAAGTTATCAGCAGTTCACTGCCAGAAAGGGAGGCAATGGTGGGTATGAGCCTGAGCCCACTACTCTTTCGTGTTTCCGTTCGTGATTTGAGGAGGGACAAGACCGATATTGTGTGCAGCTGGCAGGGACTGGGGGCACAACACAGGACAGAATAATTATTCAAGGGGACAAGAGAAGTAGTTTGGAAAGAATCCCCACCCAAAGCCGGTGGCTTGTATTTCAGTGGCCATGCTGGTGAGCGAAGGCAAGAGGTGCGGGGTCTCGGTGGGGCACGGGAAGCTGTCCCAGCTGCTCTGTGGACCTCAGTGGGTGGGAGGCTTTTGCTCTTGGCTGCTGCACTTCAACAACAACAGGGCTTGGTGGAGACAGTCCAAAGGGAGCGATAAAAATAACGAGAGGTGGCTAGGACGTAACCTCTGGGGGAAAGTCAGATCTGATGGTAAGAGATGCGGTGTGGTTCTTAAGCCTGGGACCTGCGAGAAGGAAGAGGAGCTCTTTCTTCTTGCCAGTTAGGACAAGACACGAAGGACTTAAAATGCAATTTAAGAGGGGATGAGCACTTCTTTGTGCATATTTCAAGGTACTGCCCGACGTTTTGCAGTAGCACACTCTGCCTCCCCCTCTCCCGACTCTGTGTAAGCTGGGTTTAGCACAACATCCATTCCAGTAAATCACGTGGCTTTCATGAATTAACTACTTTTCTCATGGGAATCATACCATTATCTTCAGAGGAAGTAGAAAAATAAAGAGTGCATTTATAAGGTTTTTATTGTTTTCACCCCACCATCAGCATTCCCTTTAAGAACATCAAAAGATTAAAAAAAACCAGATAGACACATCTGCCAGCATCTCTGGAGATGTGTGTTGCACTTTCTTCTAATCCAGACCAAGTCTTTGGAGCATCTCCATGCCTTCAAGAAATAAGGAAATTTTTCTTTTATTTAAGAACTGTCTAAAGACCATTTTACTGGGTTTTAACAGAGCCCTGTGTCAGCAGAGTTAAAAAATGCTGGCATTTCCTCTGCACAGGTTAAAGATGATATATTACCCTTTGCTGCTCGAACCTGATTTACAGCTTCTAGTGCAAAAATGCGTAAGACTTTTTTACATGCTCTAAGGTGCAGTAGCAGGGCTGAGGATGCGGAGCAAAGTCCAGGTGCCTGCTGGTTTTTACCTCTCCGGCGTTATTTCTTCTCTAGGTCTGAAAGAAGAGCCGCGGGGAACAACCTGCCGCCTCCTGCAACCTTCCGACCCCCAACATGGCATCACCCATGAGGAGCTTGCTCACCAACCCTGACAGATACCTCCAGTCCTTCCGCCTCTTCCTGGCGAATTCGACCGAGCACCAGTGCATGCGGGAATTCGTGGAGAGGCAGCTGCCGGCCGCAATAGCGAGGTAACATGGTGGTGGCCACATCCAGCTGAAGGACAGCCTGGTGGCGTGGTCCCGTGGCGGATATGGGTTGGCTGGGCTTGGGGGGCTGCCGGCAAGACGCACATTGCTGTTGCCCACCGGCTGCCCCATCTGTGGGTCTCTGATAGGGCTTGGCTGGAGATTTCATTTACACACGTTGTTGAACGGATGCTCTTTGCGACAGAGCCTGCCTAGCAGGGACAGATAGGGCTGAATTGTTTTCTTGCGTGCAAATACAGCTTACCCTGAATCAGCTCTAAAATGCAATAACAGATATTAGGTTCTAACATTAAATTTAGTTGAAAGCATCTTTTAAAATCCTGCTTTGCCTACCGGTGTGTGTTTCTCACTGGACCCCTCTCTTTGTGGGCTGGCTTGGGCAGCAGGGGTCAAATCCTGGCTCTGGGGAGGCCCTTCTCTGGGCCCAAGGTCTTATGGCTCTGCCAAAGCCTCCCTAAGGGATTTTAAGTGTATTGCACTCTCCCCTCTTCCTCCTCATTTTGCAAAATGCAAAACTTTTTTTTTTTTTTTTTTTTTTAATAATACTTGAACTGCTGGTCCAGTTCTAGGAGGATCTCTGGTCCTTGAAGCACAGGCATGGAGAAGGCATGGACCTGCTTCTGCTTGTATGCACTCGTAAGAAAAGCAGAACTTCTCTACAAATTGCCAAAACAACTGGAAATCGCGAACCTCCAAAGAGCAGAGTTCTGAATGTGACCCCACCTCATAGGCATGCCTGTATGTGTGCACGTTGCATTCGATTTTGTCCTGCAGATTTTAGTCTTCATGGGATCTCCAGTGCTTCACAAAATGGATGTATCCCTCTCTACTGGGTAGCTCTCCTAAAATTTATAAATAATCTTTTTCAGTATTGGAGGTGGGAAGTCTACAATCAACATTCTAAGCGTCGGTGGTGGAGCAGGTATGCTATGGACTTCCGTACTGCTTATGCTTTTCCTTTTTTTTTTAAGAATAGAGGATTACAAATTGCAGAAAGGAGTAGAGTGGAAAATAACTTTTCTTGAAAAGTCAGCTCGAGGGGACAGATGCCGTTTGCTGGTGTGGGGCCACATTGTCTGAAAACAGCTTGTGCCTCCCTACCTCAAGCCTCATATGTCCTCCACAGGAGAGACATCCTACAGCCTCACTCTAGAGGGCAGAGAGAGCCTGGAACCGCCCCATAGTGTTTCTATGCAAAAAAAGCACCCTAACGTCTTAGATTCCTCAGAATATTAAAGTTTTACTTGCATTGCAATTACTGTCCTCGGTAGCTATTTACTGATGTGGCAACCCCCCGTCATCGCTGCCTCCTGCCCAGCTACGTGACAGCCTTGGCCGACCTCTGCTTTGCCCGTAGGTACGTGCTGACCACAGTCAATGCACAGGACCCTCCTGGAGCTACTGTCCCCCAAAATACTGGAGCTGAACACAAGCTCCAGAAGAAATCAGAAGAAACAAGTCTTTTCTCTGAAGTTAGCTGGGTGGAAAAACAATACCAATAGTATCAAGTGGCTTCTCATTAAATCCTTGCTTAAGTTCCCCCATAATTAAAGCCTATGTTTTCTAATTCTGCGCTGCCCATTAAGTGATCAAACTTAAATTTTATATGAACAGTTAATTTAGTTTAAATGCTTTAGTCATACCATCTCCAAAGACTAATCTCCGCTTTGTCGATCTCTCCTAATAAGTTTAAATAATTGTATGTAAATGGTGTGTGTGAGTTATAAAACAGCCAGTGTGACAGAGTAGGAACATTGCTCTCCGAACAAAGGAAACCATTCTTCTCCCCCCAAAAGGTTGCTTTTAACAGGAACACTTCACTTGGTGAGGTACTTAATCCCCTAAGCAGGGACCCCCCCAGTTTAGCATGACCGACACCCAACCAATAATGCGCTGGCAAAACCCAATTTGTGACGTTAAAAAAACCTCCAAGGCCACCCAACCCGCACTCCTTGCTGGCTCGTTCCCGCCGCGGGTCCTTGGGGGGTGAGGAGGCAGCGGCTTCCCACATCCCCCCGCCTAACCGCGGTGCCGGA